TTTGCCTAACCAGGGATCTGAGGGTTATTTAATGTTAGCACATAAAGAAAGTGCTTCAAAAAGACTAAGGACAATAGCTCTTAGAACAACAACAACAACAACGACTATTATTTCATCTAACCCTTCTCCTGCTTGGTACTAAATACACAAAAATAAAATAACTAACCACGCTTTGCCTATATTTTATATGACTCCAACTGCCTCCTTATCTATAACCAAGTCCTCCCACCTCCTCCCCCTTCCTCCTTAGGCTCTTCTTACCTTCTTATATCTCTTTCATGTTGTGGCATTATCTTCCTTGACTTGCTTCAGAGTCCCCAGGACAGCTGCAAAACCCCTAACATTTAGACAATTTATGTATTAAAATGGAGTCAAAACTATTTGGGAAGCTATGATTGAATCAATATCAGAAAAATAAAGTGGTAAAAGAAAAAGCTTAAAGCTTGATAATGTCTGCCAAGCAATTACAATTAATAGTGATTAACTGCATAATTAATCACACAATCACACTGTTAAACAATAATAGAATAAATTTACTTAAATATTTTGGATGTTTTCTACATTTTCAAATATATTGATTTCAATTACAACACAGAATACAGAGTGTATGGGGCTCACTTCATTTTTTTTATTACAAATATTTGCACTGTAAAAACAAAAGAAACAGTATTTTTCAATTCACTTGATACAAGTACTGTGATGCAATTTCTTTATCATAAAAGTGAAACTTACCAATATAGAACCATGTACAAAGAAAACTACATTTAAAAAGAACAAGTTAAAAATCACCTAGAAAAGTTAGATGCCTGCAAGTCACCAGGGCCTGATGAAATGCATCCTAGAATAATCAAGAAGCTGATAGAGGAGGTATCTAAGCCTCTAGCTATCATCTTTGGAAAATCATGGGAGACAGGAGAGATTCCAGAAGATTAGAAAAGAGCAAATATAGTGCCCATTTATAAAAAGGGAAATAAGAACAACCCAGGAACTACCGACCAGTTAGTTTAACCTCTGTGCCAGGGAAGATAATGGAGCAAGTAATTAAGGAAATCATCTGTAAACACTTGGAAGGTGGCAAGGTGATAGGGAACAGCCAGCATGGATTTGTAAAGAACAAATCATGTCAAACCAATCTAATAGCTTTCTTTAATAGGATAACGAGTCTTATGGATAAGGGAGAAGCGGTGGATGTGGTATACCTA